TGGGCAGACAGATGGACAGATGGGAGCTGGATGCTGACATAGCTCCCAGCGCTCTCCTGCCTCCCTCTCGCTCCTTGGGGCCATGTCCCCAGACAGCTCTGCCTCTGACTTTGTGTACAAGCCTTCCCGGCAAGAAGGAGAGAACGGGAGACTGGAGCCAACCCCCTCCCCGGCTCTGCCCTCACAGGCTGAACGCAGAGGTGACTTCTCTGCTTCCCGTCTGGGAGATCCGAGTGACGATGATGATCTCACCCAGGGATAGTGGCCACCAAGTGGGAAGAGCTGCTCGGATAGTGCAGGGCACATGGGGACCCTCCACGAATGTTAATTCTCAGCTTCCCTCCTCCAGAATACTTCCAGTGGCTCCCTGCTGGGCACCACGCAGAGACCCACCCCTGCGGCCCTCCGCTCAGGCTGCTTCTCCCTTCACAAGCCCTGAGCGTCAGCCCAGCCGCTCCACGGTTGTCACACTGTCCAGCCTCCCCGCCGCTGTCTGCGCTGTGCCACCTGCTGGCCCACGTGGCTTCTGGGCCTCTGCTGTCTTGTGTTGCTGCTGACCTGTGTGCCTGTCTGCTCCCATCAGTCCCAGCCAGACAGTGAGCTCCTGGAGGGCAGGGACCACAGGGGCCCCTCGGACCCCAGAGCACGGCCCATAGGTAGACTCTGCCACACCGTGGTCCAGGCAGGGAATGCTACGTGGACAGTCTATCTGCTCAGGCCTCTGCTGGCCCATCCAAACCGAGATCCAAACTCCCTGAGATGCTGCCTTTTAATGGAGGTGCCTCCCCCCTCCCCAGGACTAACCGTGGTCTCCCTGAGACCTGGAGTGCTTAGACTTCATTGCTGAGAGGTGCTGACATAAGCCAGTCCTCCCCATTTTACAGAAGATGAAACTGAGGTCCAGAGAGGAGAGGGCTGGCCTTGGGTCACACAGCAAATCAGAAGCAGACAGCAGACTGGCCCCCTGTCCCCTCCTCCCCAGCCCAGGGCTCTCTATGGACTACATCCCCCTCCCCTGATGCCTGTGTATTCTCAGGAGCCCCATGGAGCCTTGGAGGAGGTGGGGGCTACTGGATGGTACCCAAGGGACTATGGACATGGGGGCCCAGTGCATGGCCCGGGGGAAGAGGGTGCCATACCCTAAAGGGTCTCGCCTCTGTCCCACCCAGAGACCCATGGCTTGTGTGCCTGGTTCCACCACTGGAGCCACAGCCCTGGGGGTTAAGCACTTCCCTCTGCAGGGGGTCCTGGGGCTGGCATGTGACAGTCTGGGGTTGGGAGCACTGTGCAACCTCAGTCAGCTCTTTGCTCTCTCTGGGCTGAGAAGCTTCATTTTGTCAAACTCTAGCTCTGCCACGGGGAGCTCAGTGCACCCCACTTGCTGGTCTACTCTGTTCTTCCTCTGGCAGGAGGGGCAGCCAGGCTCTGAGGCCCTGGCAGGGGAGAGGGACAGCCCAGTGAGGTGTGGGAGGAGGGCTAGGTTAGATGAATTTGACCCTTTGTAAAACCATAAAGGTGGCTTAGTGAGGGTGTGTGGATTCTCCATGATACACCTAACACAGCCCCACCATGGAAAATCCAAAAAAGAGCCAGCAATTCCTATAGTGCTGGATTCCAGCTACAAGCCTCTGCAGCGGGAGGCGGGGAGGAGACTCATGCTCAGAGCCTGCCCCCAAGGGGCTCACAGTCTAGTGGGGAAGCCAGGCCTGGAAGCACCCCCAGGGGAAACTGCAGGGGGAGGTGCAGAGGAGAGAGGTGAGGTCCTTTTGTGGCAATCAGGGGAGTGAATGCCCCTAAGAGGAGAGGCATTTGTCCTGAGCCTTAAAGAGGAGATTTTGGACAAGAGGTGAGGGAAGGGCATTCATAACTGTGTGAGCAAAGTGGGGAATGGGCCAAGGAATGGGAGCTGGACAGAAAGACCCAGTGAGCTGAGCTGCTTCCAGGACAGAGGGCCCGGGGCAGGAATCAGTGGTCAAGGGCCGGAAGAAGGGTGAGGTCTGATCCAGGGTGCTGACCGAGGCGTTTGGACTCTGGGGAGCTATGGAGGGTGTCAGCTAGGGGACAGTGGTCAGACCCAGGCTGGGCGAGCTGCTGGGGCACCGAGAGAGGGAGGACCAGAGAGGGAGGTCGATGTCCCCAGCTCCTCTGGCCCATCTAATGCTGGGGGCTGGAGGACCCCCACCCCACCCCAGGCTCATCAAGGCTGGGTGGAGGACATGCTATGCTTCACCTTGTGTCCCCGTGTCCCCGTGTTGTATCCAGAGGCCACCTCCCTGGCTTCCTCCTCCTTCCTCCCTCCTCCCCTGCCTCCCAGTGCAAAGCCGCCAGCTCCCTGCTGTGATGGGAGTGATTAGATTAGAAGGTGATTTGGGGTCTGATTATCTTGCGTGGAAATTGGCCCCCTGTGTCTTTTTCCATCCCGCCCAGGGCTGGGGAGTTGGGGAGCAGCTTCTCCATCGCCACCCAGGCAGAGCGAACTTTTTCACAAATGTGTTTGAGACCAGAGAGTGAGGCCTTGTTTCCTGGGGAAGAGCAGGATGTGACAAACAGGACAAGGACCTGGTGACCCTGGGTAGGCCGCTTGTCCCAGAGCCTCAGTTTCCTCCTCTGTAAACCATGGGCCAGTGTGAGGACTAATGAGATGACGGCATGTGAAGAACTGAGCACGATGCCTGTAGGTGTCTTACAGAAGGTAGCAACGGTTACTGCCACTGCCGTCTACACCCTGTGAACGCAGGGAAGTGGGTTCATCCTCGCCTTTAAAGGTCTACAGTGACCGCACCCCACTGAGGTGAGGTCTCTGGACCTCAGTTTCCTTATCTAATGCTGCTGATAGCTAACAACCCCTTCTGCTAGCCCCCACATGAGCTGAGCCAGTGCACAAGAAAGCACTTTGTCAGCAAGTTATTATAATTCCCATAGCCCCATAATTGGGCCAGGTTCTCCCAGTTTGTGCCCCTTGTAGGGTGGGTGGACTCCAAGGTCTGCCTGTGATAGAAAAACACCAGGCCTGGGCTGCTCGGACTGGAGTCAGTGTCCGAGCTCACTCTGTGGTCCCCACTGTTCCCTACCCGGGGACGAAAGAGCCTGGGAACAGGCAAGGAGTCAGCTGAAGAACTCACCGTCTGAGAACCTGGGTGCTGGTCCAGCTCACCAGGCTTCATGCCCCTTATGGGAGCCTTCACGACTTGCTTTACCCATCATGGATGGACAGGCTGACCTTTTCTTGCCTCAGAGGAACTTACTGGAGAGTATCTATCTGTCTCTAAAGCCCTTTAAGATCCTGGAGGCCAAGAGGCTGAAACCCCCCACACATACAGGCCCATGTCCACACACACATGCACACACACAATCTCAAGCTCTCAGATCCTGGCAGGAAAGGGAAGGGGTAGGAGAAACCTCTTGAAAAGTGAAAATAGATCCCTTTGCTCTAAGGCAGGTGCTTCGAGCCTTGACTCAGAACCTCTTGACTCTTGTTTTAGATACAGTTGTAACGAGTTGGTTCACCTAGACTTGAAGCCTGAAGCAAATGGGAAGATTGGGAGCAGGACATTGGTGACAAGTTGGCCTGAAAATGGGAAGAAAACGGCAGTCGATCTTGAGGGGAAAGAAGGAAAAACTCTAAACAGCAAAAGGAGCTCAAGAAGCCAGTCATCGGGCCGCTGAGCGTTGGGGTCAGTGGCCTTGGCCACCTGTCGAGTGCACCGAGCATAGTTCTTCCTGCACAGCCCAGGGACAGCCTGAGACCCTGCACTGAGCAGGACCGGGTTATTTCCTCTCTGCTGAAGGACGAGCTATGTACTGTGTTATTGAGAGCTTTCTAGCCAGAGCCGTAAAAATGAAAACTGGAAAATACAGGCACCTGACAAGCCAAACTTTACTTATCTAGGTCCTTTACTAAGCAGAGCGTCCTCTTGTCAAATAAAAGCTGACACAAAAACCCCAAAGATGAGTAAAAGTGGGGCCACTCTGACCAAAGACCCCCGCCTCAGCCTCCATGGCCCCCTGCCTGCCCCCTGAAAGAATTCCAAGACCTTTTAGAATCCAGTTTGAAAATCTAAGTTTCAGGAAAATTCTTAACTTTTCTGGCACCATGAACCCCTCGGAAATCCTGAGATCATCATGGGCCACCCCTATTCGGAATGATGTTTTATAATGCATAAAACAAAATACATTGAATCACAAAGGAAGCCAATTATACTGAAATAGTTAAAGTGATAAAAGAAAATCAGTGGGTGATACAGTAACGTGTGCTTCCTTATTAGCACACTGAGTAACAAGATCTAGCGGTCAGTGCCATACCCGCCTTCGTTATACAAGAAGGAAGGATAAGCGTCAATGGTGTCTGCAGCAGCTATAAAGTGATATAAAAAAAATCTGTGATTTTTGCAATGTGCGCAATGGTGTGGGCACCACTGGCACTCCTGGGTTTTGTTGCCTACGTTCTTAATGTGGGGAAATGCTAACTTTCATTTCTATGTTTGTGAAGATAAAGATGTCATTGCTTTCCTGTCCAGGTTCCCAGAGCCCTGATTTCTGTCCCCCGATCTTTGGAAAGGAGGTGGTCCCCATTTTAAACAATCCTGTTCAGGGCTTAGTTGGCACTTTTTTGCCAGTTGCAAAATTAAGCAGAATGAGGTCTGGTTCTAGTTATATCAATAAGGAAAAGAGAGAGTGGTCCCTGCTTGGCACGTGAGGCTGCAAGAGGAGTGGGGGAGGAGGGAGGAAGGCACCCTCCAGGACTGGGTGGAGGTGGTGGGCCTGAGCTGTCTGGGGTCCTGAGAACTGAGGTTCAGCAGTGTTTAAGCCCCAGGCCCATCATCGCACTGTCCCAAGGTGAAATCATCTTTAAAGTACTCTTTGAACCTTAACCACAGGCGATGCCCAAGGACCTCAGCAGGCAACTTGCCGGAAGCTGGCTGGGACCAGGTTTCTTCCACTCCTCGGGGGCAGGGGCTTGAGCCATGCAGTGGTAACTTAGCTTTCATCCCCTTCCCCAGGGACCCACGTGATGGAGGGCTCTGGACGGATGGTGGTGACCGCCGTGGGCGTGAACTCTCAGACCGGCATTATCTTTACCCTGCTGGGGGCCGGTGGTGAGGAGGAAGAGAAGAAAGACAAGAAAGGTAAGCCCAACCCCGTCGCGTACCAGGAAAAGAGCTCTTAAGGCCACAATTTCTGTTGATTCATTCACTCAACAAAATAGTTATTGAGTGCCTCTTATGTCCACACCCTGTGCCAACAGCCGCCTCCTGCATCCTCGAGGCCCTGCTTGAGCCAGGAGGCTCTGTCTGTTCCATCTCCAGGGTCTTGTCCCAGTCTCTGTCTTGTCCAGTCATGTCATGGGGGCTCCCCCTTCCCCCAAGGCCAGGCCAAGGGTGCCGAGCCTTTTGCCGAGTCTCCAGCCTCAAATGTGACCATCATCACCCCTGACACCAAATAGAAATCCCCCCCGGGTGTATTTGTCCACTATTCTCAACTCCACTGAGCAGAACTGCTCACTCGCCCAATGTAGACTCTCCCCAGTCGTGGGCAGAGGGGCTTCTGGAGAAGGTGATCAAATGCATGTCTCCAAGTCAACTGCTGTGAGTCTCCTTCCAGTGCCCCTGGAGCTGCCACCTCAGCGGGGTTCTGGCTCATCCTCCCCCTGGAAACAAGATTCCTCACTCCTTGGGCTCCCCTTGGTGCAGCAGGTGGGCCGCCTCTCAGCAGGGGAGGGATGGTCAGAAGACACAAGACCAAATCCCAGCACATGAGGCCCAAATCCAAGGCCAGGCCTCTGGCCCAGCACAGCCAGTTCCTTCCCTGACACTCACACTTGGTCTTGGGGGCAGCTCACTCTTACAGCTTCAATCTTTTGTCTTGTCTCCTTCCCCAAGCTCCAGAGGAGGGTCCCCAACACCCAGACCTCCTGGAGTCCAGGGGAAGGAGATGAGATAGTAGATGGCCCCTCCTTCCCTTTCACGGGTGGCCCTGCCACCTCCAGCTCTCAGAGTTCAACCAGGCACAGAGCCCAGGTCATGATCTAAGATTCTTTGTTCCCAGGGGCAAAACCTCTTTCCTAGTGAGGTCCCCCTAAGATTACAGCTGCCCCACCAGCAGGAACAGTGGCACGAAGCTGAGATCTGGGAGAGCTGAGGTTCAAACTGAGGACAAAGTCTTGGCCAAGGCGCCCAGAGCATGTCAGGTCAGCATCCACGCAATGATGTAGAAGCTGTGGCCAGCTGTAGCCCCAGGTGTGGGCAGTCGGACAGGATGCAGCAGCTCTGCCCACTTCCTTGGCCTCCCTGGGGCCTGGGCAAGAGACAGAAGCACCTAGAAGCTCCCTCAGGCCAGACTGATGTTTTCAAAAAGGCAGTAAGAAAAGAGGCCTCTTCTGTCCCCAAAGCAAAGGCCCAGGTCCCTTGCTAAACATTTACCTGCACCCCAGCGAGATGGAGGCCTCAGTGTAGAGGGAAGAGGTGAGATGTGGAGGGGATGTGGCAGAGGAGGATGGGGGGCCCAGCCTCTCAGGCCCCCAGGAGAAGCACGGGACCTTCTCAACACTTCCATCCCATCACCTCCACCAGGGACGTTGCTTAAAGCCTGCCCACTGGGGGTCCCCGCTGCAGAATGACCCCGAGCGTGCCCAGGTGTGCACATGTGTGTGTGCGGGTACACGCATGTGTGTGCTTGGGTGTGTGCGTGCGCACACGTGTGCGTGGGTGGGTGCGAGCGTGCACACAGAGGCGGCTGCATGTGCTTCTCCTCATTAACATGTCTCAACAATCATCACACAGGTGTGAAGAAGGGGGATGGCCTTCAGCTACCAGGTACAGTAAGACACCCCTCAGGGTAGATGGGGTTTCTAGAAATAGTAGCAGCCATGGACCCCTGAGCCCTGGCCCTCGACCCCCAGCACACAGCTAGAGGGGCTACCTGACAGCTGGAGGCCCTGCCCCGCCAGCCCTCCACTGTACCCCCACGGGACAGGCCAGCCCCCCACCCGGCCTCCCTGCCCTGCCAGTGCTTCCAGTGCAGCGGGCAACACCGCCGTCTCCATGCACCCTCAGCCCCGGCACGCTCAGCCCCATGGCACACCCCGTGACCCTCAGCCCTGCTCCCCGCCTGCACCCCACAGGGCCCGTCCCAGCTTCCCCTCCCTACATGGCACGGCCATCTCACCCCGCGGTCCCTGCCCCCTCCTTTCCCCACCCTAAGACAGAACACGAGGGAACTGGACCATCTCGTGTCATTTTTTAATTTCTCAATTAAGGAAAACTCACTGGTGCCTCCTCTGCCTCATGCACAAAATGCAACAGGCTTGATGCATCCTTTTAAATAGTGGGACATCTCACATGGGGTCACCAAGGCAACCTTTTGAGTGCCAGTTAGGGCAGGAGGAGTTGGCCATGGGCAGTGACCTGAGTCGAGGGCATGAGTCCTAAGTCACTGCCGTGGACGGATGTTCTTTGGGGACACAGCAACCGTCACAGCAAACACTCATTCAGAATGGCTGGTGCCCACACTGCTCACCACTTGGTGGACATTTTGAATCGACTCCTC